GGGTCGATCTTGACCTTGGATCGTTCGTTCGACTGTTCGATGATTTTCAGCGATTAAATGAAATGGATCGCTGTTGCATTGGAGACAACGGAAAGTCTAAGTCTACGAGGAATACAGTGATTTCTCCCGAAAATGCCACATCTCGGTTTGCTGTGAATTTCTCTTTGCTGGTTCTAGGAGTATGCAATTTGCGGCACGCGACGCGAATTCCCGAAAGGCGACACAAAATGATCAGTTTCTACGAATTGCCTTCGAATCATGGTAAACAAATTATTCTAGCATTACTATGTGTTCATATTAACGTTAAATTTAGGGCAGCCATGCTGGCCGCTGCCTTTTTTCGCCGACTGCTCCGAGTGTCTATAAAAACGAGCCACGAGGCTCGAAGAATCGTGTCTTAGCGCGACTTAGTATTCTCGGATTTGCGTGTTTCGATTCCGATTCCAAATAATTCTGGGAAAAATTACTGCATTTAACGAAGTCGAATTACACGTGCTGGCTCATCTTCGACGAGCTTTACACCGCTTTACAGCGCTTTACATCGAGGTCTGGCTCGCGATTCCGATTCCAAATAATTCTGGAAAAAATTACTGCATTTAGCGAAGTCGAATTACACGTGCCGGCTCATTTTCGACGAGCTTTACACCGCTTTACACCGCTTTACATCGAGGTCTGGCTCGCGATTCCGATTCCAAATAATTTTGGAAAAAATTACTGCATTTAGCGAAGTCGAATTACACGTGCCGGCTCATTTTCGACGAGCTTTACACCGCTTTACAGCGCTTTACACCGAGGTCTTGCCAGCGATTCCGAAGATACCCGAGACGAACATACGAGCTGCCATCAAAAAGGAACCGGACGCCATCGATTTCTCCGCGTCGGTGTTTGACAGGGTCTAATGGTTTTGCGGGTCGCTTCTTTTTGCGCCCTTGACTATCGGTTTACTATCGGTTCATCATCGAGTAACAAGTAACGAACCAGTTTCGCAGCGTTTCCGATTAAACTTCAGTTTGTTGGTTCAGCTTATCCCTGAAACGAGAAATCAATCGGAGGAGATCGAAATAATAAACCGCAGTGATTTGAAGGATTCGATCACTTTCACGTGTCCGAAGATCGCTTACATTTTAAAACAACGGCAGAAGAGAAGCAAACATTTGACCGATGTAAGTTTTCATGGCTTATTTTACAAGGCTATAAAGAAAATTCAGCGTTAATTTTGTCTTAAATGCTGTTTTCGTTTAGATTTCGCATGCCATCGCTCCGAATTCCTTTTTCTTGAAATGACTCGACAGGATCACCCAGTGCAAAAATTCCGAAAGCAAAGAGAAATCCGAAAGTTCTCGTTTCTAAAAATCATTCGTTCGAATTGTTGTAATCTCTCGCGATTTATTTTCCGGACTTCGAGCTACAGTAATGTCTCCCTAATCGACGCTCAGAGAGGAGGGAGAGGAGACACGATTATTCGATCCTTTCATCGGATTCGATCAGGTTATATTTATTCCGGATATATTTATATTTATTATATTATCCGCGGTTTATTATTACTGTACAATATTATGTACAGTACAGTATTATATAGTACATTACTATACAGTATTATTACTGTACAGTAATGTCTCCCTAATTGACGCTCGGATTGTGCACAAAAATGGACAATTTGGGAAGAGGCGATACCATTATTCGAGCCTCGAAGCTCGTTTTTATAGTTATTGACAACCGATACCCATAATAAACGAGCCACAGGACTCGTACAATCGTATCTCCTCTTCCAAAATTCTCCATTTTTTGTAGACAATCTGTGCGTCAATTAGAGAGACATCACCGTACCATCTCAAACGGAGAAACGAATTCGTTCGTTTAAAAATCTGAAACTGATTCAGACCCTCGAACCAAGAACGATAACGAAGTAGCCGCGACCGAGGCAAGTTGCAACAGCAATTAATTGCACAAGAAAGTGCCGGGATTGCACGAAACTAATCCCCGTAGTCCGCAACAGCGACCTTCGAACCGTCCGATCGACAAAGGCGTATCGAACCGATTGTCGCTTTTTTTTCACGCTAATCATCTTAATCGGAAACCGCGAACCCGTCAGCGGTCTATTCGACGTAAAACGGTAACTGCGCGTGGATTCCAGGTACCAGATGCGAAAGCAATCGTGCCAAACGAAGTGAAAAATCGCGGCTGTAGTATCACGTTATCGTCACGATGCGATTACGAGAGACTGGTAACGAGGCGCGCGGTAACAAATGCGGACAGCACGGCACAATGCGACGTGCACGTTCCGTCGTCTAACGATCATCTCTCGGCCGTGACTTTGATGCGGCGGGGTACGCTCGCGATCGCTCGCGATTCCATCGTCGGACCCGTCGCTTCGCGTCGCGTCGCGCAATTATCGGCCGCTCGCGAACGGGTACCTATCTAATTAACGCGAACGTCGATCGCGTTTAAGCGCGCCCCAGCGCCGGGGTGTCGGCGGGGCGCCGCCGGGGGCTGGAGCGTCGCGCTATCATCGACGCCTCCGAAATTTCGCCGCTTTGTATGCGCCGGCTCGGCTCGGCTCGGCTCGTCTCGGCCTCTATTTTGCCTCGGAATAACTTCGTTCCAATAGCGGTTAATTCAATTGTCTCGAGATAATATCGTGCGCCGCGCGGTGAATATCAAACGGAGAGCCTGTGAGAGCGCAGAGAGCGGGAGAGAACGAGAGAGAGCAAGAGAGAGAGAGAGAGAGAGAGAGAGACAGAGAGCTGGCCGGGGCGATTTTGTTCCGGCGTAATCCTTTGGAAAAGCGTCCGCGCCGGAAGACATTGTTCCTCGCGGTTATCTCCGGATCCCCTCGGTCCAGGCGGCGGCGGCGGGGCCCTTGGCGTCGAGTGTTTCGGCCCGGTCCGTCTCCCACGGAAGAAATAAACGTCTGCTGGCGAGGCGGTGTAACGTCGCTCCTGTCGTCGCCGGAAGGAAGCGCGACGGTTTAACCGGTTCCGGCTTATCTCCGAGTTGCCTCGTATTTAAGGCGAAACAGGCGCCCGGCCGACAGGGTCGTTAGCGAAGTTAGCCAAGGAGCACAATGTCGGCCGCTACACGTTCCGCGGCTGAACGCAATTTGCGGACTTTCGGCCCCGTTTCGGCGCCGTTCGACGCGGGGCGCGATCTCTCCGCGCGCGGCTATCGATCCACCGCGGCTTTTGGGCCGAGGGGACCCGGGGGGATCCCGCGCATCTTTACGAGGCCCGGAGATAGGATCGCGCGGGAGCCGGCGAACCCTTCGAGAATTTAGCATTCGCGGCGTCGACCGCCTTCGACTTCGACTTCGACTTCGACGTCCCGATTCGCTCGACCGAGAAGCGAGCGGCTCGCAATTATTTTAATAAGCGCCGCCTCGTTAGTCGGGGCTGCGATTGGCACTCGAATAATCGGGCGCTCGAGAGTTTCTCAAGAGTGGCAGCCGGAGACAGAGAAAGAGCAAGAGCGAGAGAGCGAGAAAGAGAGAGAAAGAGAGAGAGAAAGAGAGAGAGAAGAAAGCGAAACGAGCAACCACGACTCGCGTCCGCCGTCGGCGCACGATTCCCGGTTCGAACTTCGAAGGGATGAAAGAGCCCCGGATTTCCAAGTTGCTCGGGGCTCCGGGAACACTGGCTGGCTGGGGCGCGGGAGGGTGCCGGCGAGAGCCGGAGGTGGCTCTAATCGCGTTTCGTCTCGTTAAGGCTCGTCACGCGTTACCGGCGCCCAAAGGGCGCGTTAACGAAGCCGCCGGCGGAACGATGGATCCGGCGGCGCGAGGACGTCCTCCAGAAACGGTTCTCGAGCACAGCGGAAGAATTCGTCGCGTCGCGACAACCGACCGGCAAGAAACAAGAAGTCCCCGTCGCCATCCGCGCCGTTTTCAGACCGATCCTCCGCCGATCCTCCGTGAAACTTCGACACGGTTTTGCGTCATCTCGCGGATGTCGCGCTTCCCATGCGAAACGCGCCGCCTTTTCCCGCAGCCTCGTTTCGCGAACACGCTTCGGACCCAGCGAGTTCTTTCCCGCCGCGATCCACCGTCGGGGCGCGGGGCGGAACTTCGGCTGGAAACGAGCCGCGAAAGGGGAACGAAAAAAAAAGCAAGGGAAGGAAAAAAGAGCCGGGAACTCGAAATGGAAGCTCGAGGCTGTCTGCCGGAAGACGCAGCCGAAGTTTCTTTCTCCCACGGGTTCAGTCCCGAGCACGTGGCTCCAGATGTACGCGCTCCAGATTGCAGCGGTCGCGGCTCGAGCAGCGTGGCTAAAGCAGAGGGTAGGGGAGGAGGGTCCGGTGATCGACGAGCTACGGGAAACCGCACGCTCGGGTTTCCGGCGAGGCCGACGATTCGGGGAAAGACGCGATTTCAGGCCGTGAAACGGCGTGAAACGGCGTGCCTGCCCGGAAACGAGCGCCCTGTAAATTAATCCAGACTTCGGGCCTCGGGGAAGGAGGGTGGCGGGCGACGGGCGAGCCGCGGCGGATCGTCGCGCTGTCTTTGTGTCATTAGCTTTCGACGCGGCTCCGCTCCTCCGCGCGCTGAAACAGGAATCGATCGAACGGATCGACTGGAACCGGAGTTAAAAACCCGGAGCAAAAGAGAGAGAAAGAGAGAGAGAGAGAAAACGCGCGACATTCTCGTGGGTGATCGGCTCAAGGTCACCGATACGCGACCGGTAGCCGGTGCTAGGACGACCGGTGCGAAACAAGGCGCGGCGCGGCGCGGTCTCGTCAAAATTGCAAATAGGCCGATATTTTTTTTATCCACCGCGAGAGCGACAGGTTCGAGCGGACCGATCGATATCGAGCGGATCGAGCGGATCGCGGCGTTCGACGGCGGGCGGCGCGACCGGACGCGATGCTCACGCACGAAAATAGTGGAAGAATCAGTGGCGGCGAATTCGCAGCGGCGCGCGGCACAGCACAGCATCATCCTCTTCGTGCATGCGCCCACGGGAAGCCTAATTTCATCGTCGGCGGCTGCAGCCGATGCCGTTCGACGCGGCCAGTTCGTTCTCGTCGCTATCGTCGGCCGACGTTCGACGCGGTTTTTCGAGCGGTGCCCGGACACGTGTCGCGAGGGACGTTCCCTCCTCCCCCGTCCGCTCGACGCCCATCTCGCGATGGTAATCGCGATGTATCGGAATTGCGCTAGATCGCCGATCGAACTAGTTTCGAGGTGGGACGATTCTCTGCGTCTATTCCGAGAGTGGGACAGATTAGAGACGCTCGCGGATATTGGATCGAGCCGTGATCGCGGCGCAGTTCTGCATCGATTCCGCGCGCAGCCGCGACGATCGCGTCCGGAACGATCGGATCCCGAGCTCCGCGGATACGCGCGTTCGCGCTCGCGTTATCTTATCGCCGGGAAATCTGTCCGCAAGTTTCCGGGAATCCGCGAGGAGCAGCAGCTGGGTCCGGGCCGCGTCGCGGGAACCGCGAACAGTGCTCCGTCGGCCGATCAGCGAACCGGGAACGAATATATCTGCTCGGCTCGGCTCGGTACGCTCGACGATATCGATATTCGAGCGGGTTCCGGATCGTCCATCGCTGACATCTCGTGACTCCGCACGACGATTGCCGCGGGCCGCGACAATTGAATCGTTTGACCCGTTTTTATTGGCACAAGTCGCGACACCCGCGAATGGGAAGCTAGCCAGGCGAGGACCGAGGAGACAGGGAGGCTGTCCGCGCGGTAGTCTCGTGACTGGTCTCGGAAGATGAGGCAGAGAGGATCGCACGCCGCCCGGAATCCGTGGAGCGCGCGCGCGCGATAACCGCCGCCGATTAGGAGGATCTCGGGGTCCTTGCCGCGAGTCGCGCCAGGGGATACCGTGGGGCAGGGACACGGGGCCCGCCCGATCGCCGCGTCCTCGCCGCGAATTTTCCTCTTTTCCGTTCGCCACTCGCCGTTCGACCGTCGACGGACGGGAACGCTCCGGGGAGAACTCCTTCGCGCCGTTTCCACGCAGCCAAGGGCGAGCACGGTCGATCGACCGATCGATCCTCGGGTACGGGTACGATGACCAAGGGAAGAAGCAACGATGCCGTCGTCGCGACGATTCACGGTGAGACGATCGACGAGGATTGTTCGGTAGATCGACGGTTAGACGATCGGACGGATGGACGGGGAATTTCGGTGCCGTTTGCGTAACAGCTGTCTCGTTGCGCAACGCGCGCGCGTCTCTCGGTTTGAGTTCAAGATGAACGTGATTTTCAGTGAGATACGAGGACAACGTCGACGGCGCGGCGAACGTCGAGACGGCGATATCGGAGGCAGGTTAGAGATCTATTCTTCGTAGCGCCGCGGCCCGGAAATTCTATCGGACCGATGATGATCGGCTCGCCTTGTGCCGGCCTCGTTCTCCGTCCGCAGGTTACGGCTGGTTCAACGTGTTGCTCCTCGCGGCGGCACTTCCGGCCGCATGGAGCGGGATCTTCGACACCACGACCACCGCCTTCGTTCTGATCTCCGCCGAGTGCGATCTTGGGCTGACCACGTTTCGCAAGGGGCTGCTGGCCGCGACCCCGTTCCTAGGTAGAGTATCGTCGGGCCCCGAACGGCCGTGTCAACCGTTTCCACCATTACGCGATCACGCGACTACGCGCACCCTTACCATCCAACGCAGGCATCATTCTGGCCAGTCTGCTATGGGACCGCGTCGCACCCTACGTCGCCACGAGGAACCTATTCATCGTCGGGCTACTGGCGGACACCGTTCTCAACGTAATCAGCAGCGCCCTCGACTCCTACTATGCGTTCCTGGCGGTCAAATTGGTCATCGGTCTTCTGTGAGTATAATCTGTTCGTCGTCGAGGCGAACGTTTCTTTGTTTAAAACTAAACTTACCACGGTCGAAATGACCGATTTTTTTATTTTACGATATTACAAACTTTGGAGACTTCTTCGTGGAAAATTATTGAATAAATGATATTATTGAAACAAGTCTCGTAATCGAAACTTTACAAATTCCAAGCGAATTCTATCTTTTCGCTCTTACGAGTCGATGCATCGCTGATCATCATTACAGGTCGGTTGGTTTAGCGTTAAGGACCGTTTTTTTTAGTTCGATCGAGGCGTAAGTCCGTTCTCTTTTTTGACACTGGATCGACGCTGCTGTTTTACGTTAGTTTATAAAGGTAACGATGAACGTTCCGATTTTTGTCAAGTGTTATTGTTACGTTCAATCGTGAGTAAGTTGAATAAATAAGTCGTAAATGTGTCTGTACGATATGAATAATCGTGGATTAGGAAATTAGTCACCCGCCATTCTGTCGGGTTCCGTGAATCTAGGGTTATGCTGAGATATCGCGTAATTTTGCGATTGATTTGGCGTGAGCAAAATTTAGCGCGACCGTTTTATTTGTAACCGGTTGATTTTTAGTATCGATTTGAATAATCGTAGGTTAGGAAGTTAGTGACTCGTCGTTTTGTCGGGTTATAGTGAGATATCAGGTAATTTGTGATTGACTTAGCGTGATAAAAATTTAACACGACTGTTTTATTTGTAACTGGTTGATGTTTAGTATCGATATGAATAATCGTAGATTAGGAAATTAGTGACTCGTCATTTTGTCGGGTTTCGTGAATCTAGGGTTATGCTGAGATATCGGGTAATTTGTGATTGATTTAGCGTGATCAAAATTTAGCGTGATCAAAATTTAGCGCGACTGTTTTATTTGTAACTGGTTGATGTTTAGTATTTTTAACGAATGTCCAATTTCCATAGACATGGACGGGGGGTCAGATGGCGAGGTCACGTGAGAAGAATTTCTTGTACACACCACAGGATAATTATGACATTTATAAATCAATGTAGAAAAAGAAAAAATAATAACTTTATTTCGCACGATGTGAAACGAGAGAATTTCGTCTCGATGAAAACAATCTACAAAATGCAATCGAAAAATGGGAACGAAAAGAAATGCTAACGGAGGAAAATGTGAACTTTGAACAATCAGCTTTGTGCAATCATTACATCGATCATGTACATCACGAAAGCATCTTTCTAATTTGTATAATTATAAAATAGAAGCTTGGAACTTAGAAGCTTGGACTTATTTAGTCTAGAGAATTGATTTATCAAACGACGATTCGAACACTCCGGTCCCAAGTAACCTAAGCTGGCCTCACGCGACTGGATTAAACGAACCACCCCGTCATGTGATGTTTTTGTCAGACCGGTGCGATCGTCTTGCGCGGAACAGAAATATTTATGTTTACAGTATGGCAACGTATTCGAATGAATATTGATAACAAGAGATAACACGTCGGCGGTTCGCGAATTCCGTGGCATATTTTCGCGACGCGAATTATCGCGGGCCAATGTTCGCGCGCGCGTACAAAGGACCCAAAAATCGCGTGTCTCGAAAACGATCGCGATCTCTAAACGTCCGATAATTATCATCCGCTCGACGGATCAACGTTTCCGGCCAAGTTCACGGTCGTTCACGGATGACTCGGCGGCGCGGCCGCGGTCGGAACAGATTATGTTCTCGGCGAAAATAATTTAGCGAAACATCGGCGAACGGGTGGCATGTGGAAAGTGCGACAACAGGTGCTAATGCCGCGCATTGCCATAATCGAGAAGTCAAGCAAAGCGATCGACGAACGCGCGCGCCGCGTCGCGCACGCGGTATCAATTTGGACGCGGCCGTACGATGCGGTTTATTTGTTTCTCGTGATGCCCGTCGAACAACGACACAACACGAATTCGACGATTCGTGACGTTCAATTGGAGCCGAGACGCGAATCCTCGGCGACGATAATGAAATTACGAATTTCGTTGAAACCGTTTTAATAGCCTCTGTTCTCTTTTTTGTCGCGCGCTGCCGCCCGCCTCGAATGAAATTTCCTTAACTCGATCGACGCCGCGTTTAAACTGTGCGAGAGTTTAAGACACTGCGCGAGCACAGATCGTCGCACGATGCAAATGCGACGGCGTTCCGCGACGCCGATTGTATTGTGCACGTGCACGAAAGTATTCGAGCGACGGTGCATACAGTAATGTCTCTCTAATTGACCCTCGGATTGTCCACGAAAATGGACAATTTGGGAAGAGCGAATACGATTATTCGAGTCTTGCGGCTTGTTTTTATAACTGTTGACGACTGTGAAAATGTTGGCAACTGTAAAAATGAGCCGCGAGACTCGATCAATCGTATCTTCTCATCCCAAATTGTCCATTTTCAGTTAAAAGCTGAAGGAAAATTAGAGAGAATTTACTGTAGGATAAGCGTGGGCATTACTGCGAACGCTCCAAATACTGCGATATTTTATAAAAGCAATAGAATCTAACATTTTGTAGTATCTAATCTCCTAAAAACGAATCTTATAGTTTTCTATATGTTTAACATTGACAATCTATAACATACAAGTAACAGTAATCGCAGTTTCAATTTATTTATTGACTTTTAATATTCGAAAGCTTATGAAAACATCAAGTTTCACGAAATAATACTCGTAATAGCAGCTCTGCGAACGCTGATTCGAAGGGCGTTTATATTTTGGTAATTAATAATAAACCATTCAATTTTAGATAACTATTCAGTAATCGTTACTTTGATAAAAAAAAGTCGACGTACATTCAAGGAAACGTTCGAACATTACAAAACTAAAGCTTCGTGCGAACTATCGCGAAATTTGCTTCGGTTGCAGCGTCGGCGGGCCGTTCTCTATGGTGACCAACTACTTGTCCGAGTTCCATTCCGCCGAGTACAAGGCCGGCTTTGCCAGATGGAGCGGCCTGGTTATGAACGCAGGGATCATCTTCCCGGCAGGTAAGTCTCCGATTTCGATTCCATCGGTCCCACGATCGCCACCGAATATCGCAAGCATTAACGTCGAACAGTTATGGCTTACTTTATCGTGCCGCTGTCCTTGGACGTTGAGATCTTCTTCCGGCGGTACAACGCTTGGAGGATTTACCTGTTGGCCTGCTCGGTGGTCCCGCTGGTGGGCATCCTGACGGCCTGCATGCTGCCGCACTCGCCGAAGCATCTCGTCGAAAGCGGCCGGCCCGACGAAGCCTTGAATCTTCTTAGGAGGATGTACTCCCTCAACACGCGGAAGTCGATGGACTCGTTTCCGGTAAGATCGCGCAGGGTGTCCCGTAATTACGTCGGCATCGGAATGGGCCGATTCCCGAGGCCGTTCGAAGCAACTTTTTCCTTAGCGAAAATGCGATCCCCGGCTTCGTTTACGAGTTATCGACGAAAAACGGTGACCAATGAGCGGCGAGCTAGGTTGGCGCTCCGCCCTCGCGACCACTGCCGCTGAGTCAGACGGCCGGCGCGACGCGCCACTGGCCGAATGGGCGCAGCGCCTGCCGCGCTCGTTCACCGATTGGTCGGCGTTTTTCGTTAATAACTCGTAAACGAAGCCGCGGATTGCATTTTCGCCGAGGAAAAAGTTACTTGGAATCGCCTCGGGAATCTTCCCTTCCTGGGTGTTAACATAATTATGGAACACTCTGTATGTAGCAGTTCCGAGTTTTATTTGGAAATTTTTTGAAATATATTTCTGAAGATACAGTAATTTCTCGCAGAAATGTTCGGATGGCGGAAATGAAACCGGCAGATCTGAGAATACTAAGTTGCGAATCTTTGAGCTTTGCGGATCGTTTTTATAGATAATTCGAGGCAGAAATTTGACGAAAACTTCTCTCGCTCTTTATCTCTCTTTTTCTCTTTCTCTCTTTCCCTCTTTTTCTTTCGCCCTCTTTCTCTCTCTTTTCCTCTCTCTCTTTCTTTCTCTTTGTCTCTTTTGGTATTTCATTTGGAATTTCCGGGAGAAACTACTTTCCGTTGTTCCCAATGTAACAGCAATTCATTTCACTGTTGATCACCGAAAATCGTGCAATCGAACGAACGATTTAAATACGCCGAGGTCAAGATTGACCCGGCCGTCGCGTCGCCAGGGTTAACAGGACCGCGTCCGCTATTCGTGGGCGACCTTCTCGTTTCAGATCAGGACGCTGGTAGGCTGCCGGAAGCCGCGACGGCCTTTCGTCGAGGCGAACTCCGAGCAAATCCGACTGGCCTGGTACAACGCGCGACTGTTGTTATCCGGACGGTACCTGCGAACGTTCGCTCACCTGGGCTTCCTGCAGTTCGGCAGCTCGCTGGCGTGAGAAACTCTTATATGAACGCAACGAAAGCAAGGTGCCCGATCCTTTCGTAAGGTCGTTGATCGAACCTCACGTTCGCGCAGGTTCAACACTATGAGGCTCTGGGTGCCGCACACGTTCATGATCATAAGCAACTTCGACCGCGAAAGCTGGACCTTGGACAGACCGCCGCTTCTGGCGGACCTGCTGCATCGCCGGTACACCGTGACCCTGCAGCAGTACTCCGACTGCCCGGATCTGTACGGTTTCTGCGTGAGGGTGAGCAGCGGTCGCGCGACAAAATTCACCCGATGCAGCGTAAACTATCGTCCGCGCGCGCGATCGTTTCTGTTTCAGTGGCAGGTGAACGGCTTGATCTATTTGAAATCCACGATCATCGCGATCTCGACGGTGTTCTTCGCGTTCCTCGCCGGACAGATAACCGGCACCGATTTTCGCAAGAAGACGATACTGCGTGAGTATATGCAACTTCCTCGCGATGCATGCGTCGATGCGAGACGATCAAGAGATAACGAGTGCGGACGATTTCTATCGCAGTTGCCGCTTTCCTGATCACGGCGGGAAGCGGCCTTGGGATCAGCTGGGTCCCGGAAGCTCCTAATATACTGACGCTGGCAGCCGCAATTATAGTCGCGTCGAAAATCGCGAGCAACATTGTGGCCGCCGTCAGCGGCCAAGTCATTCCTGTACCGTTCAGGTGAGCTTTTGGTTTTAAAGAGCTTGGCTGAAGTCCTCTCGTTCTCACTCTCTTTTTCTCTCTTGCTTTCTCTCTTCTTTTCTCTTCCTCTCTCTCTTTCTCTCTTTTTTCTTTCTCTCTCTTTTTCTCTCGCTCTCTTTTTCATTCCCTCTTTTTCTCTCGCTCTCTCTTTTACTCCCTCTTTTTCTCTATCTCTCTCCTTTTCTATTTCTCTTTCTCTCTATTCTCTTTATTTTTCCCTCTATTTTTTTCTCTTTCTCTTTCTCTTTTCTCTTTATTTTTCTCTCTTCTTTCTCTTTCTCTCTTTTCTCTTTCTCTTCCTCCCTCTTTTTCTCTTTCTCTTTCTCCCTCTTCCTCTCTCTCTTTTTTCTTGTTCTTTCTCTTTTTCTCTCGCCCTCCCTCTTTTTCTCTCGCTCTCTCTTTCACTCCCTCTTTTTCTCTATCTCCCTCCTTTTCTCTTCCTCTTTCACTCTTTTTCTCTTTATTTTTCTTTCTCATTTTTTTCTCTTTCTCTCTTTTCTCTTTCTCTTCCTCTCTCCTTTTATCTTTCTTTTCCTCCCTCTTTCTCTCTCTTTTTCTCTTCCTCTTACTCTCTCTCTCTCTCTCTTTCTCCCTCTTTTTCTCTTTCTTCTTTCTCTCTCTCTCTCTCTCTCTCTCTCTCTCGTTACCCCAAACCTCGTCGCCGTCCACAACTCAAGCTAAAGTTATCGTCGTCGATCCTGTTTGCCTTACAGGGCCACCGGCCTCAGCCTGCTCACGAATCTCGGCAACTTGGGTGCCATCCTTGGGAACCTCATCTTATCGGCCATTCTGGACGCAGAGCCAGCCGCGGCGTTCGTCGGCCTCGGTGTCCTATTGCTGGGTAAGTTCCCTCGAAGTACAGTAAATTCTCCCTAATTTAACCTTCAGTTTGCAAACGAAAATGAAGAATTTGAGAAGAGGAGATACGATTATTCGAGTCTTGCACCTCATTTTTATAATTGTAAAACAAGCTATAAATGGCAGACTATAAAAACGAGACGCGAGGCTCGAATAATCGTATCGACTCTTCCAAAAATTGTCCATTTTTGTGTACAAGATGAACGTCAATTGGGGAGAATTTACTGTACAGTAACTCCGCATTAATATTCGAACGCTTTTTAACACGAAATAATTTTAAAAAAATTAGAATAAACGATTTTTGGATCTTTAGTCGTTTACTCCGGTTCCGAAGAAGTTATTACGTTTCGAAAAGTGTCCGAATATTAACCCCTTGCCGTACCATTCTCCCCGCAGTCGCTGCGATTAGAAATTTTTCGACTGCAATCATTTCTCAGAGGGGAAAGAAAATATAAAATAATTCAATAAATATCGATGACGAAGAGATCAGAATTAGAATTAGAATTAGAATTATATGTCAATAAGATAATTAATAATAATTAATAATAATAATTAATAATCATTATTAACTTATTGACAAATAATTCTAATTCTAATTCTAATCCTGATCTCTTTGTCATCTCTTTGTCAACTTATTGACAAATAATTATTAACTTAATAAATAATAATCAATAATAATAAAAAATAATAATTATGAACTTAATTAATAATAATTCATAATAATTATTAAGTTAATAATTATTATTAATTATTATTAATTAAGTTAATAATGATTTGTCAATAAGTTAATATTATTTGTTCCCAAAAATCTTCACGACGAGTCGGACTCGTCGAAGCACGGCAAGGGGTTGACGGGGGTGTCCCTGTGCATCAACCTCGAAACGATAACGCTAATCGCCCCGTGTCTTCCGTTTAGTCTGCTTCATTCTGTCGCTGGTGTTGCCCGAACCGGCGAAAGCGTCGCCAAAGGCCGCTGTCGACGGCAACGCGTGACGCTGGCCGGAACTCGCCGTCATTCCTCCCCGTCCGAACAGACTCGACCGCTAAAAAATGGTTCCTGCAGAGTCGTCGGGCCGCGCACGGTCGCGAGTACGCGCGACGACGCTTCTCGCCGAAACTGCAAATCCTCCGATTAAATAGCACGTTTTTCTTCCAAGGACAGAGCGCCGCGCGACGACGCCGAGAAGCGGGCTGCCGTCTTATCCGCGGAACGTTTTCTCTCCGCGCGGCAACCGGAAGCGAATATTCGATCGGCGTCGCCCGATTTTCCATAACGCGCGCGGCGACTATTTACGAAACGCGTCGTCGGAAGGAAAATCGAATTCGCGACGCGCGGCGACCGATCCGCGGAGCGTTAATAGCACGATTACACCGATAAAAGGAACGCGGCCGCGCACCGTCCGTCCACGAGCTCGTTGCGCAACCGAGACTATCGTTGCATCGAAACCGAAGGTTATATTTGACGACGTTCGATTAACTCGAGCGAAACGAATTTATTGTCCGATCACGATCGGTATCTCCGTATTTCGCGCGAGATGCAGCCGGGATAGACGATGCTCGATCCGTGGATGGATATATTATTCGCGGGCACGTTATGCAAATCGCTAGTTTTTTCTCTCTCTTCGTATTCCTTTTTTCTCACCTTCGAAGATCGTCCGAACCTGATCGAAACCGTCGCGCACGGTTTCTTTTCTTTTTTTTTCTCTCTGACACGTAACGAGATTAATCGGCAGGAATGCTAAACGAGCGAAGCGCCTGTCGCGCGCGTATTTTTCTGCTTCCGTCGATACGCGCGGGTGTAAGATAAAGGATAGTTAAGGTAAACGATATGTAAATTTGTAATAAAGAGTAATATTCGATAGAACGGTTTCCGCTCGTTCACAATTTCACGTAAATCAGTTCACGTGAATCAGAACATCGACAGGTAACAACCGCATCGGAATTGCCCGTTTGAATTTCAATGCTATTTGCCGGTTAAAAGTGAGTACTCGAATCGAAGATGACGCACAGTTTGGCGGTAATATTGTTTTTGCCTTTTTTTCACGACGATGAATAGTCCGTTTGTTATTTATAATTGTCAATGATTCGTGTCTAAGTGGCCGTAAGATATGCTGCGAGAAACGGTAAGTATTGTTTGCTGTTCGAAATGCGAAATTATGCATTCTGTGCATGGATCGGTAACATGTACAGGGCGTTCCAAGAATGTCTCGAAATCCGGAAATAATGGATTCCTGAGGTTATTCGAAGAAACTTTTTCCTTAGCGAAAATGCAATCCGCGGCTTCGTTTACGAGTTATTGACGAAAAACGGTGACCAATGAAAGACGAGCTAGGTTGGCGCCCCGCCCTCGCGACCACTGCTGCTGAGTCAGACAGCCGGCGCGACGCGCCACTGGCCAAATGGGCGGAGCGCCGGCCGCGTTCGCTTACCGATTGGTCAGCGTTTTTCGTTAATAACTCGTAAACGAAGCCTCGGTTTGCTTTTTCGTTAAGGAAAAAGCTACTTCGAATGACCTCAGGAAACCTCCCATTTCTGGATAGGTAGACATTTTTGGGACACCCTATATACATATATTCTATGTACACGTTGCAGAGTTGCTGCGAAACGTACGCTACGTCGAAATTAGATATGTAATATTATATAGTATATATAGTATATTATACATATATACTATATATATTATGTATTATAGTATATATAGTATTATATAGTATATAATATTATAATATTATATATTAGATATATAATATGCTACGTCTAACGAATTAAATGAACGGCATCGGATTGTTTCGGAAGATCTGCTGCGTCGATCTCGCATGAAAAACCGTCAACAACACTGTAAAGTATGATACGTTTATAAGTTCAACTTGCAAGTATAAATATAAAAATGTTAAAAATAGCGCCATTTGCGATAAGTGGCGCCGCTTGCGGCGAAATGTGGAACTAATTTTAAGGCGTTCGTACAGCGCCAATTAGTGCAGTGGCAAAACGCTCAAACTTCTAGCCAGAGTCGACTGTCGGCAATTTGGCTACCAGTTTGAGCGTTTTGCCGCTGCACTAATTGGCGCTGTACGGACCCCGAAAGGAGCTTCAGTTTTTCTCCAGCAGAGGCGCCACATACGCAGAATGCAGGGTCGCTAGAAAACATTAATTATTGCAAAATTGAAGCATAAAACGCTATACCAAGGACATGGAATTGTTCGGAAGAATCTACTGTGTTTATATTCTATAGAAAAACAAATGGCGATATTGCGAAACATAGTTAATTGCTCGCTGAAGATTGGTTTTCTTGCACGATATCGATGCAACAGATTCTCCTGAACAGTTCTATGCCCTTGGCTTGGATTATGATGCTCTAATTTTGCCATAATTAATGTTTTTCGGTGATCCTGCAGTCTGCGCATGTGGCGCCTCTGTCGGAGGAAAACTGAAGCTACTTTCGATGTGCGTACAGCGCCAATTTGTGCAGTGGCAAAACGCTCAAACTGCTAGCCAAATTACCGACAGTCGATTTTGGCGAACAGTTTGAGCGTTTTGCCGCTGCACTAATTGGCGCTGTACGGACTCCGAAAGGAGCTTCAGTTTTTCTCCGCGAGGGGCGCCGCTGTCGCTGACGGATGCAGAATGTAGGGTCCCCGAAAAACATTAATCATGGCTAAATGATGGGATAAATAAATAAACCAAGGACCTCGAACTATACAGAAAAATTCACTGCATCGGAATTGTATAATAAAAGCAGACGCCAATATTGTTATCATATTTAATTGCTTACCGAAGTTGAATTAACATTACGTTAATTAATAATGTTTTGTGACGTTGTCATCAGTTTTTCTTCGCTCGAAATCGATGCAGCTGATTCCCCTGCACAGTTCCGTGCTTGTGGTTCATCGTTTTACGCCCCAATTTTGTAATAATTAATATTTCTCCGCGATCCTATATTCTGCATATGTGGGCGATAGTGGTGCCTCTTGCGGGGAGCAAACGAAGCTTCGTCCGAGGTCCGTGCAGCGCCAATCGGCGCAGCGGCGAAACGCTCAAGCTGCTAGCCAAATTACCGACAGTCGATTTCGGCCAACAGTTTGAGCGTTTTGCCACTGGACGAATTGGCGCTGTACGGACCCCTTAATTTTAGTTCTGGAAATCGCCGCACGCACCGCCACTTGTCGCAAACGACGGCATTTTCAAATTTGAAGAAGCAACGATTTGTACCGCTTTTTGCATTGTTTCGAGCGGTGAATGCGACGAAAACGATTTGATGCTATAGCACGCGCTATAGCATACTATAGTACGCGCTTCCGTTAACGTTTTGGTATACCAAAAGCCGAAAATATAAAAATGCGAAACAATGTTAAATTTTTCGTAGAGAAAAAGTTCATTGCAATACGTTCTTTATTTAAACCAAAATTATATTTCGTTTGAAATCCGAGGATTAACGCAAACGGAACGAGCATTACAACAATATTAATTTAGCCGGTACCCGCGATTTGCATATACATACATACATAGTATTTGATGTTTAGGCAGCATAGTTCAGGCTCGGCTCTGCGTGCACGAATACGATCGATTTTATCTCGCGCCTGTCATTCACACTCCACGTACCACGAAAAATGATGTGTTTCGCAAAACCGGCCTTTCGTGCTGTTCGTGTCGCGCGCGATGATTTAAAGCAGCAGCCGATGGTTCGACCGGGTTAATCGATCCGTTCCTCGTTTAGGGGGTCGTTTAGGGGTTCGCGGGACTCTCGCGGTCACGGGATGACGCAGCGAGGGGAACCGCATGGGCGCGAAGCGGAAATCCAGCAGATAAACCCGGAGGATGAATCTTCCGCGGACTCGTGAGTCAGCCTCAACCCCCCCCCCCCCCCCATGGAACAGCCGCAGCACGGGCAACGTTTGCGCATTATCTTCGGATCGGTTGGTTCCGTTCCACCCTTTTCAGAGGCCCGGCTTTCACTTTCCGACCGCTCTGCGATTTTCCATCCGTTACCGTAATTGTCCTTTTTATAGATGTCGGGTGTCTGCGCCAAAGGGTTGCTATGCCGGTTGCAGTATCAATTCTAATTACCAGACCCGAAGCTTTCCCGATAACCATCGGGTGACCTCCGCTGTTGGCCAATAATTCCAAGCTAAACAAGCGGAATTGAGGTGGCACGTTTACGATCCTTGGTCGAAATAGATTCGGGACCCACCGCCGGTTTACGAGAATATAATACATCTGTAATGTAATTGTATAGTAATATGTATTGTACAGTAATAATTGTGTAATAATATAGTGCACAGTAGTAACTGTATAATAATGTACTGTACAGTGATAATTGTATAATAATATACTGTATAATAATAACTGTATAATAATAATAACCGTATAATAAAATGCTGTGTAATAATATACTGTATAATAATAACTGTGTAATAATAACTGTATAATAATAACAACTGTATAATAAAATGCTGTGTAATAATATATACAGTATAATTATAACTGTGTAATAATATACTGTGTAATAATATACTGTACAATAATAACTGTGTAATAACAACTGTATAATAAAATGCTGTGTAATAATATATACTGTATAATAACAACTGTATATACAATAACTATATAATATAATTTTAACTATAATATAACTGTTGTTTTCGGCGATTACAGTAAATTCTCCCCAATGTTCCTTGAACTTGTAAACAGAAATGGACAATTTGAGAAGAGAGGAGATACGATCATTCGAGTTTTGCGCCTCGCTTTCATTTATCAATCGTTGATAATCGGTAAACATAAGAACGAGCCCCGAACAACTGTATCTCCTCTTTCAAAATTGTCCATTTCTTTTTCGTAAGCCGAACAAAAATTAGGGAGAATTTATTGTACAGCTATCCACGACATTACAAGTCGAGGGGTCGACGCTAAATCAACCGAGCCGTCGAAATGACTGTGTGCGATTGCCTCATAAAAGCGAGAAGAACGAAATCGTTTAGAATTTGCACAATTTTCGTAATTAGTACTCGCTTCAACAATGTAATCCATCCAATCATTTCCCATGAAAAGCGTTTTCAATCCCTTAAGTGGTCCGCGAATTTCAAGAATCTGAATCGATAAAGTAAATTCTCTCTAATTAATGTTCAGATCGTGCATAAAAATGGACGGCTCGTTTTTACAGTCTGCCATTTACAGTTTATTTTACAATCGCAAAAACGAGCTGCAAGACTCGAATAATCGTATCTCCTCTTCCCAAATCGTTCATTCTTGTTTGCAAGCTGAAGAAAAAAAATCAGGAGAATTTAGCGTAGAATAAACTGTAGGTATTACTGCGTACGTCCCAAATACTGCGATATCTCATAAAACTAATAAAATCTAACATTTACACTGCGCAATCCTCCAAAAACAAATCGCATAATTTTCAGTGAATCTAATATTAATAATTTACGACAAAAGGCATAATATAATTAATTAATAATAATAATAATAATATAATTATAATGAATAATAAATAATAAATAAAATTATAATAAATAAAAAATAAATTATAATAAATAATATAATAATAATATAATTAATGCCAATACGGCAATAATTTATAACAAAGTCAACAGCAACCTTCGCGTACAATCTGACCGTCGATTAGGCAGAATTTCCCGCATTATCCATCCTTCCTCCCAGCAATTGAATTGCTCGAGCAATAACTAAATAAGCCTTTGTTATCAACAATATTTACTTAAAAGCGAAGAAACGATTCAAATAAAAACAGCTCGCGATGCGCATTCGCCTCGTCCACGAGCAAATCGACAAACATAATCGTGCAACGCGCGAGCGTACCGTTTGGCCATAACAGCCGCGGTTCCGTTTATTCTCGTTTTTTTTTCTATTCTATTTTTTTATTCTATTTCTATTATATATATTTATTATTATATATATTATTTATTATATGTTCTATTTTTTTATTCTATTTCTATTATATACATTTATTATTATATATTCTATTTCTATTTCTATTTCTATTATATATATTTATTATTATATATTCTATTTTTTAATTCTATTTCTATTATATATATTTATTATTATATATATTATTTTTTTATTCTATTTCTATTATATATATTTATTATTATATATATATTATTTATTATATATTCTATTTTATATATTCTATTTCTATTTCTATTTCTATTAATTTCTAGGATCCAAAAACAAGAAATTCACCGCCGGCAAACTCAGTCAAGGATGCGACACGTGAGCAACGAAACGAAACGAAACGAAACGAAGCGAAACAATCGAACACAGCACGAAACGAACGAAGGGGATGACGTCCGCGAACTCGCGTGGCGGTCGCGTCACGTGCGCGGATCACGCGGATCGGCGTGAAAGAGAGAGAGAGAGAGAGAGAGAGGACCGTGTGCACCGTTGTACATCCGCGAAGGATTTTCCGCAGCGTTGTGCGGCGGATCGATCCGAGGAACGTGCATCGATCGCAAGCGGAGAGGAAACGGATAATTAGACGAGAGGCGTGCGGCGTGTGCGGGCCGACTACGGAGCGCGTGCCGCGTGCGAAAGCGTGGCGAGCGATACGGTCGCACCTATTCCCCTATTCCCTGGCCGAGCAACCGAGCAACCGAGCATAGGGATTCTCCCTCGTCGTGCACGGAGAGCCGCGTGCAGGGAACGGCGCGCGGGGGTGCGCACGCGCTGGCAATTCTCTCTGATAACGGCGGGCGTCCCGACGTCCTCAGTCCTGGCTGGAACGCCGTAACGTCGCGGCGCGTCGGTTCGGCCGATCGTACGAACGACAGCGACCACCGAATACATTATCCTGGCGTTTTCCTAGTGCCCGCGCCTTTGTCGCACGTCGGAAACGATCCCGACGTGGCTCGTTACACAAAAAAAAAGAAAGAAAAAACACGGAGCCGCGCGAACAATGAGATGCGCATCCGGCGCTAACGCGAGAACCGCGATCACGAGATCCCCGCGACCGAACACATTGCCGCCGCGCTCGCAGCCCGCGGAGAACGGACCGCGACCAGCCTAATCGCGCGGCGCGCGAGCGACCGAAACACCGATAATTGCGGCGCAAATGCTGCGACGCGGAGAAGTTCGCGGTCGCGGGCCGAGCGCGGCCCGCCGCCGCGGCCCGTTCCCTCGACCGCGATCGAGAACGTGCGCGCAACGCCGTGCCGGCGATCGCCGCCGCGTTTTCGAGATCGGCGGCGCCGGAAGAAGAGGTGGGCAGGGAAGACGCGGGAGGGACGGGAGGGACGGGAGAGACGGTGGAGGATCGCCGCGGAGATTCGCGGAGGACGTCGCGGGCCCCGGATCGGAGCCAGGGACCGCTCCGATCGCGAGATCACGGGCCGCTTTCGGCGCGACGATTCTTCTGCTGGTGCTGTTGCTGCTACCTTCGCGGACGCCCGCCGCCGGTGAGTCGATACTCGTTTTATCGCCGCGTTATTTCCGTCCACGACCGGACGGAAAGTTCGTATATTCCGCGACTGATCGCGCGGATACCGTCCGCCGAATCCGTCGGCGAAATTGTGAAGACGGCCGCGCGCGCGCGCGCGCGTCACCGATCTATGTTGTATATTCGGTTGCGCAAAGTCACGCCACGTCGCGACGACGACGACGACGACGACGACGAGGAGGACGAGGACGACGGTGACGACGGCACACGGCGAACGGCGTAGGCCACGTCGCCGCGGCGTTCCCTAACGAATTAATGCGGCGCTCGCAGCATTGTATGCTAAATTTCGCGTGCGCGACGGCCACTCGATCGTTCCCCCGTGCCGTCGCGTCGCGCCGCGCCGCGCCGATAAGCCGCGGCGCGGTCTCGAGCGCGTTCGAAATCGCGCGCTGCGGCCGCCCCGCGTCGCCGCGAGGATTCCCTACTGTTCGCGGGGACGCGGCCGATATCTCGGTCAAATTTGGCAACGCGCGCCGCGGGAAACGCCGCGCGAGCTTCGTGATCGACGACGACGATGACGGCGACGTTGACGACGAAATTTCGGTACCGCGTCGCTGCCGCCGCGAGGATTCCCTTTCTTTCCGCGGCGACGCGGCAGATATCTCGGTCAAATTTGATCGCGGAAAAGACCACGCGAGCTCCGCGGTCGACGACGACGACGACGATGTTGACGACGACATTTCAGCGCTGCGTCGCGAGGATTCCCTTCTGTTCGCAGGGACGCGGCCGATATCTCGATCAAATTTGGTCGCGGAAAAGGCCACACGTGTTCCGCGGTCGACGACGACGATGACGACGACGTTGACGACGAAATTCCGACGCCGCGTCGCCATCACCACGAGGATTCTCCTTTTTCCGCGTGGACGCGGCCGATAACTCGATCAAATTTGGCCGCAGAAAATGCCACGCGAGCGCCGCCGCCGCCGCGAGAATTTCCCTCTTTCCGCGGGAACGCGACCGATATCTCAGTGAAATTTCACAACGCGCGCCGCGGAAAACGCCACGCGATCGACGACGCCGACGACGACGTCGTTGACGGCGACGTTGACGACGACATTCGCACTTGACCGTAATCACGGAATCGCGATATCGCGGCGTGTCGCGTGCAACGCGGCCGGCTCGCGTGATTCGAATGCAACTTCGAAATCGATACTGCCCTTTGGTCGAGTTTGCATGTCGACGCGCGTGTACACTTTCTCTCCCCTCCGTCCCGCGACGCTCTTTCCGCGCCGCACCGGCCGATTAGCGGCGTCTCCGAGCGGCTGGAAAAGTTCCGTGGCCGTTCGTCCCTCGCAGGAACAGCCGTCCGGATCGGTCGCCGCTTATCGGCGTTCCGAAACATCGGTTTCGCTGTTCAGCTGCGGGGAAAACGCCGCGGTGAACGACACGCGCTCCTCGGTACCGCCGTGCTCGCCGTGGAAAAACCGGTCGATAAAACGACGGTATCGGCTCGGTTCGGGCCCGCATTCGCTTCGAGCCGCGGCTCGAAGGCGCTCGAGAATTCGGTCGCGGCGCGTCTCCGACGACTCGTCTTCGACGGCTTGTCTTCGCCGTTTCGATCGCTTCGATTCGCTTGGACGGCTCGTTTTCGACGGGGCTCGTCTTTGCCGGCTCGTCTTCGCCGTAGCGAACGCTTCGCTTCGCTTGGACGGTGCGTCTTCGACGGCTCTTCTTCGCCGTTCCGATCGCTTCGTTTCGCTTGGACGACGCGTCTTCGACGGCTCGTCTTCGACGGTGCATCTTCGACGGGACTCGTCTTCGACGGGACTCGTCTTCGACGGTGCGTCTTCGACGGCTCGTCTTCGCCGTTCTGATCGCTTCGTTTCGCTTGGACGGCTCGTCTTCGACGGCGCGTCTTCGACGGTGCGTCTCCGACGGCTCTTCTTCGCCGTTTCGATCGCTTTGCCTCGCTTGGACAACGCGTCTTCGACGGCCCGTCTTCGATGGTGCGTCTTCGACGGCTCGTTTTCGACGGTGCATCTTCGTCGTTCCGATAGCTTCGCTTCGCTTAGACGGTGCGTCTTCGACGGCTCTTCTTCGCCGTTCCGATCGCTTCGCTTCGCTTGGACGGCTCGTCTTCGCCGTTCCGATCGCTCGGACGGCGCGTCGGTTTCGCGCGATACCGTCGGAACATAATATAATATAACAGAACCGTCGGCGACGGGAAACGGCGCGGCGACGAGCCTGCTGGCAGGCCTGCCGCGAGAGCCCGAAGGTTGCGTGCAACCTCGAAGTCGTTAACCATGCCGCTCTTGAAAGCAAACCCTCGCCCCAACTGCCGTGCCACGCCGATTTCTAATCAGACGAGGAGAAAGAAAGAAAGAGAACGGTGGGGAAGGGCAGGGGCAAGAGAAATAGAGAAGGAGAGAGAGAGAGAGAAGAATCACGCGTTACGCGCCCCTACGAACGCGTGGCGTTCGATCGAGTCGCTTGACCGCAGCCGCGATCAATTCTTCGCTCACCGATTAACTCTTTGGGGCGCAGGATTTTAGGAAAATAAAGTAGACTCGTGTTGCACGGACATTTTATCGCGTTTCGTATGCTAACGGTATGTTAATGTTACATTGGTATGTTCTTTTTTCATTGACGAAGGAGTCGCGTAATGTAAAAATATGAAAAAATGATAATAATAATAATAATAATAATTTAATTGAATTTGTTGTTGTAGGGCGGGACTCGTATAGTCTCGTCATGCCACATGGACAATTTACATTACAATTGTGCATGCAGCTATTGCAATATTCCGGAGGGAGTGTGAAAATGTCCCGCGGTGCATCACCGTGCATCGAAACCATCCCCTTAATTATATTCGTTATATTTGTAAATATACATGAATTTATTATTCTCACTCTCCTCTTATGAATATTCGTTTCTACGTTATTAGCTTTTCGCAGCCTTTCCTATTGTTTATTAACGCTAGATTTACGGAGCACAAGACACAGCTGTTTTATATTAGCTTATAAAAGAAACAATAAGATGTTTATTCTGATTTTGAACGAGCGTTATTGTAACATTACACGCCGTAGGTAACGTATAGAATGAATAAATAACTCGCAAATGTATTTTTAGCATATGAATAATCGTACGTTAAGAGATTAGTGACCCGTCATTTTGACGGATTCCGGAAATCTAGCGTTAATGTAGAATAGAAATGGGTATTAAAAGCTAATAACGTAGGAATGAATATTCTTAAGGGAAGAATAAGAATAATAAATTGCTTTATATTGACAAATGTAATGAATATAATTAAGGGGATCGTCTCGTTAGTTTGATCATTTTAATTTCTATTATCAATCAAGATATATTGTATTTTCTTAATTTACAGAATATCTACGTTCGTAGTTTGATCATTTCTTCTAATGAAAATCAAATTTAATATCCCACACCGTGCTCCAAATGAGTTAAAATAAGACGGTCTATTATTCCAATCGCAGGCTCCGTTATCTCCAAAGCCGACACGTCCAGATTAGCAACATTAGAGAAACGAAGATACGACGATTCATGCTTGAAAAGTATGACATATCATTTTATTTTCGAACGGAATACGGTAAACTTTCCCTAATTGACGGTCACACAAAACTGAACAATTTAGAAAGAGGAGATCCTTTTTATTATTCGAACCTTCCGGATTGTTTTTACAACGATCGACGTTGTGAACGATCGACGATCGATGATTTCACAACGATTTGATTGTTAACAACCATAATGAAACGAGCCACAAGGCTGGAGCAATGCACGATTATTTTACAATTATAAAAACGAGACGCGAGACCCGAATAATCGCATCTCCTCTTCCCAAATTATCCATTTCTGTGTCAATTACGGAGAATTTACTGCAGCTGTTTAAAAAAAATAAATTGCTCCGAACGACTCGAATATTCGTCCGATCTTAAAAAACAAAACTCGAGCGTTCCTCGCGAAAGCCTCGAGAATCGAGCCGCTCGAAAACCGTCGTCGAAAATCGTCGCATCGCCGAACCTCGCCGGCGCTTTCGTCTTCGAAAAGCCGAGAGCCCGACTCACAGAAATCGACTCACAGAAATCGCCGGTTCCCGACGCGAAAAACGTCGCATGCATCTCGAAACAGCGGAATCGCATCGCGCGGGAGAAAAAGACGCGTCTCCGTCCCGTGGCCGGCGTGTTTGCGATTCGAATTCCGCGAGTCTCCTCGTATCGTTGTCCCTATTATTTCTTCGCTTTTAATCCCGTTCGAGGACCCCGCTGCTCCCCGGAATCGCGACGATTCTGATCGATAGGGGCTCAAGGGCTCGCGAGGCTCGGGTATGGGTCTTTGTCTGCCGGCGATACAATAGCAAACGTTCCGGGTCCATTTATCAAATCGTCGATGGCCCTCGACGCGGTCTTACACCTACCGGGAAACGAATTTAGTTGGCCGTTCCGTGATCGAGACGGTACCGGGAACAACCTCGGTACGCACCCAAGTACTGAATATAGTCGCGGGCGAACCGAAGCGTCGACGGCGTCGATCCCGAGGGGCTCTCTCCCTGTCGGTTTTGCCACACCTCGTAACCCAAATACTAAAACTATTAACAACCTTGGCGCTCTCTCTCTCTCTCTCTCTCTCTCTCTCTAGTTCTCTCTCTCTCTCTCTCTCTCTCTCTCTCTCGCTCTCTCTCTCTCTCTCTCTCTCGCTCTCTCTCTCTCTCTCTCTCTCGCTCTCTCTCTCTCTCTCTCTCTCGCTCTCTCTCTCTCTCTCTCTCTCGCTCTCTCTCTCTCTCTCTCTCTCGCTCTCTCTCTCTCTCTCTCTCTCGCTCTCTCTCTCTCTCTCTCTCTCGCTCTCTCTCTCTCTCTCTCTCTCTCTCTCTAGTTCTATCTCTCTCTCTCACTCTCTCTCTCTTTCTCTCTCTAGTTCTATCTCTCTCTCTCTCTCTTTCTCTCTCTCTCTAGTTCTCTCTTTCTCTCTCTCTCTCTCTCTCTCCCTAGTTCTCTCTTTCTCTAG